AGACAAAATATTCTCATTTGTAAAGCAGAATGGGGGGGAATAAGTCATCGCATTACTTTGTTCTGAAATAGCAGAGATAGTCCTTTGAGCCAGCTGTGGATCCTAAGAAAACAGCAACTGATGATAATGATTAATTCCATCCATGAGTGTTTCATTGTTTGATAATTCCAACTATTGAAAGCCATCTTAATTTGGAAGAAATTTAGCAATATACCAGTGATTACACTTAAGAACTTTTGAGGAAAAAGTAAACAGATACTACTTTTAATATACTTTGATGGTTTATGTCATGACATTATAATACAGTGTAAAGTAAAACAATTACAAATAAGTTTGAAGCCTAAACTATTGCTTTTAAAAGTTTTAGTCCATTCCCTCTAAAATGTCTTTCTAATTATTGCTGTGCAAGATAATGTTTTTATCAAATCAATGCCAAAGAAAACATTCTTGGATTAACTTATTGGTATTATCATTACTATAAAATATCTACAACCCAGAAATAGAATCTGCTTAATCCTCAAAACAAAGTAAAAAAAAAATGTTTAAATGAAAAATATTTATACAGCTTATATCCTAAGTTTGAGAATTATTTAAATTGTGTCATTATAATAAATCACTTAGTATTTTTATTACTGTAATAACAAAAAAAACCAATTTTTTTATGGAAGGGAAGATTCTTTAAATTCAATAGTGCTTTACAATTTTCAAAATTTTACACATATGATTTCATGAAATCCCATAATAACCCTTTTTTCTCCTAATACTATATTACCCTAGCCTTTTCCCTTTCCCCACTGGTAACCTCACTAGTTTGTCTTCCAAATATGAGTCTGCTTCTTTTTTGTTTTATTCCCTTGTTTGTTGCATTTTTTTAGGTTCCACATACAAATGATATCATACCGTATTTGTCTTTCTCTGACTTATCTCACTTAGCACATTGCCCTCTGAGACCATCCATGTTGCTACAAATGCCAGAATTTCATTCCTTTTTATGGCTGAGCTGTATTCTACTTGTCACGGCTTCTTTATCCATTCATCTCTTGATGGGCACTTTGGGGCACAAGATCTATTTTTTTAGCTGACTGATACATTGATAAAATGTGAAACCAGATGACTTATCCTATACAGTCGCACTATTAATTACTCTGGAGTTCGGTGCACTTGTGGTCTAGACTCAAAAATGTTTATACTTGACATTGAAAGCTTTTCTAGAGAAACTTTTAAAAACTCAAATCCCAAACCTGATTACAATTTTCCCATTGTAGGAAATCGTGAAGAAACTTTTTATAAAATTACACTGTAAAATATTTAGGCGAATCATGATATAAACACTGAAGCCCTCCTACCTTAACACAGCATTTCTTCCGTCACTCCTTGTGCACCAAACCTGGCGGGTTTGGTAACCTATCTCTATGTCCCAGGACTTGGAATGGTGATGCGCCTTGTGAGTGTGATGTCTGAAAGTGACCAACTCCTTGGACTCAGAGCTAAAATCCAGAACGGTTCTTCCACTTAGGTTGAGTTCTTTGAGATGAGGCAGTCTACATTTACTCCATGGTCCAACTTTAAGGCTAAACGTATATTCCTCTGCGCCAAGAGGACAAGAAATGGGCGCATCACAGGCTCTTGACTCAGTCAAGTTGGGACACTGTGACCCTCCATAGAGAGGGGGGGCGAGGGCTGAGCGAGTTCTGTGCTGTAACTGCTTCCCACACCCGTTGCCACACGCAGACCACGGCGAGAACTCAGACACCACACAATCCCGCGGGCAAGGGACGAGGCACGCTTGTTCCGTGGGGGGCTGAGGGGCAAAGTGTTCACATATCTCATTCACAACCATGGTTCTGTTCAGCTTCTGAACACAGCGCACGGCCCGATGCTGCAAGCCGTGCTGGGCGGTCACACACTCTGCGGCCCGGGGCCTGGCGGGGCCCGGGGCCGGAGGGGCCAGTACACAGCGGTGCCAGTCGGAAACCTCCCACTGGAAGAGGCCTCTGTGCCAGTCACAGACGCGGAAGCAGCTTCTTTCCTTCGGAGGCCTGCTGTGCTCGTCACAGTCAGACAGGTGGCCCGTCCACCCCTCAGAGTGGAAGCACCACAGGCCGCGGCTCTGGCTTCCGCCGGGCCCACAGCTTCCTGTACACCTTCCCCAGGGGCCTGCGGGCAGAAAAGACAGAGGGGTCGATTACTCCAGGATCCCAGGCCACCAGCCACACAGAAACAGGCCAGTCTGTTCACCTCCAGACACAGCAGTGTGAAATTGTGAGATACGAAAATAAAAGATAACTTGGTGGTTAAGAACGTGGATTCGACATCAGTTGGCCCTTCTTGAAATCTCCATCCATCTCTGAACAGCAACGTCAACTTGGATGAATTACCTCAACTTTCTAAGTCTTAGATTCCCACTTACAGGACAAGATAATTAAAATGCTGACTTGTAGAGTCTTTCTGAGGATCAGTGGTAAAATGTGATGCCATGTAACAATACACGTGTTTAAATGATTGGTATCATGATTATTATGTCTCAAAGCCTATATTTCTAACTGAATATTAATACTTCCAAGTTAGGCAGAGTTTCATCTAAAAGAAAAGCCCCAAATCCAGGATTTTAATAAACTAGGATTTTTCATGTTTCCATTTCTTCAGCTCACAACCTAAGTATAAGCTCAGAAGAAAAAGACATTTAAAAAAATAACTTGCACAAGCATCCTAAATATATATTTGCTTTCTAAATACTGTCCTCAGTTTTGGTTTTTACGTACAGAATGAAAAAGAAAAATCTGGTACAGGGGTAAAAGTGAAGTTAATAAAAGCAGCATCACTGAAGTCTGTGGAAATTCCGCCCCTACAATCCCTGAAATATATTGGCTGGGTAAAGCTTCAAAAGGCATCCCTGGTGGCTCAGTGGTAAAGAATTCTCCAATAAGAGGTGTGGGTTTGATCCCTGGCTCAAGAAGATCCTCTGGAAGAGGAAGCCTGGCAACCCACTCCAGTATTCTGGCCTGGAAAATTCCAAGGACAGAGAAGTCTGGCAGGCTACAATCTATGAGGTCGCAGAATCAGACATGACCTAGCAACTAAACAATAACTTCCAGCATTAGCTTGGAATATGCCAAATCTTTTAATTAATTAGTTTTATGAGAAAGTGTCAAGAAATGGACAAATAAAAGAGCTACCCATTGATGTTTCTTGCTTTTCTTTTTGCATCCTAACTATAAACACACTAGCTGGCCTCATCCATTAGGCTGATCATCGATCTTTCCACAAAGATAGCAAGTAATCACATTTTGTGTCAATGAAAAAAAAAGTTTCCTCCTTTTCTCTTTACTTAAATATTTAATAAGAGCCTGAAAAAAGAAGTTTATCACTTAACCATGTTATGTTTGCCCCTTTACTAGATTTGGAATCAGCATAAAGGCAATTCACACCCTGAGAAATCATTTAATTTCCACAAGCAAGAGAAAGAAGGTGAAGTCTTTCTCTCTTTCCTCAAATCTGATCAAACTCCAACATGTCACTTAATTAGTCCCTGGAATGTTTTTTTCAAGCACATCCAGTACATTTCTAGGAGCAGTAAATGTGTATAGTAACATGCATTTAGGAAGAGACATGTGCCTCCCCAGAGAAACAGGTTATTTGCATTTGCTGCAATGAGGATCTCTCACTGTGGCAGGGCTATACTTTTGAGGTTGTAATGTACCCAGTCCCGCAGTTCTTTTCCTGAGCCCTGGGTGTGCAGACCTGCTATTCTAGGCAATACCATGTTGATAATTTCAGTGCTGATGATTTCTGTCACTTTGTGAGAGAGAATAAAATGTACTCTCATCTTCTTTTGGTGCCCCCACACTCGAGTGTGGTGCTCCATTTCTTGTTGAAACAGACAAGAGTTTTACTGAATGAAGTCAGCCTATAGTCACCAAAATGCCCTTTGGTTTCCCACACACTCTTTCCCGGGTGAGCTGTCCCAGCACTGTCTCCTCAGGCACAGCCAGTGCGCATGGAAAGTGCAGCGTTCAGCACAGGCCGTTTGAATCAATCATCTTTAATTCTGATTATTTCCTCCTGAATCACCCATAGTTTACTATTCTGTACACTGAGATGTTTACTGTGACATGGTAGTTATTTGTAGGCTCCAGGTGTCTAGATGTTCTGGAATAGATTCAGGTTCAATATGCCACTCCCTGTCCAGCATCCCAGACCATGCATGCAAATATTTACTATTATTAAAAAAACAAAAATACTATTATTAAAAAAACAAAATACAAAACCCAAATCCATGGTTACTATTTCAAAAAATATATGATTGTAGGAAACTTTTAAAGTACTTAGATTTTAATCATTTAAAATTATTTAATAATTTTAATCAATTAAAATTAGATTTTAATTTTTGATCTATCCAGGAGTTTGGGATTAACATATACAGGCAAATTCTTCACTGCCTGAGCCACCAGGAAAGCCCAAAATATACATACTAGTATATATAAAATAGACAACCAATAAGGACCTATTGCATACCACAGGGCACTATACTCAATATTTTATAATAACCAACAAGGGGAATGTATCTGAAAAAGCATATATATATACACATATATATAGTGTGTATGAACATATATAAAACTGTTTATATATATAACTGACTATATGACTGTTTATATATATATATAACTATGTATTCAGTTTATATATACATATGTTCAGTTTATACATATACATACTGCAGTATGTGTTCAGTCACTCAGTCATGTCTGAATCTTTGTGACCCTGTGCACTCTAGCCCACTAGGCTCCTCTATTCATGGGATTTCCCAGCAAGAATACTGGAGTGGGTTGCCATTCCCTACTCCAGGGGATCTTCCTGACCCAGGGATCAAACCCAGGTCTCTTGTGTCTCCTGCATTGGTAGCCAGATTCTTTACCCCGGCACCACCTGGGAAGTCCATATACATAGGTATATATAATAACTATATATAATGTATATAACATGTATATAACTAAATCATTTTGCTGAAAACCCAAAATTAACACAACATTGTAAATCAACTACACTTCAATTAAAAAAATAAAATCTGTTTTGAATGACCTAAAACCGTTATTAGTTAAAATGAAAACAAAGCTTTTTTTGCAAAAACACTGGGTTTTAAAATATAGGCTATCAGTTTCTATTTGTTTAGGTATAGGTATACACAACTTTATACTTAGGATTTATTCCTGTATATTAAAGAATGTGAGACCAAAATAGTAGAACCTCTTCTAACCAATCTTGAAAAGCTCACAGTAAATTTAATCAATCTAGAACCTCTTACAAACTGATCCTTATTCTTAAATTTAAAATATTCAATTAACACATTTTCTTATTATTAACATTCTGTTTTCTTCTAAGTTTTTGCCCACTTCAAAACTGTTAAGGTAGCTTTTTATTATTTGAAATCATTAATATTTTAAACTGTATAAATTACTATTCTTCCCTTAGCTTTCATTTCTCCATCTATATAGAATCTTACCAAACAGCCAAATTTTTTTCTAGATCAATGGAAGACAAAATATAATTATTAACAATTATTCTCCAATTAAAAACAAATAAATAAAAAGAAAGAATTGCTACCATTTGTTAAAGCCTAGTGGTGCTGTGCTGTGCTTGGTTTCTTGTTAAATATTCAGGAATCTTACCAGATGGTCATTAAGTCATTCATGATTTAAAATCAGCCATGGTGGGAGTATTTACGCCACACTACAAATCAAGGCAAATGAAGGCTTTTTTTTTTTTAAACAGTGAGCCAGTTGGTTTATCTTACATCACTGGTGACTTGACAAGTGCCTTCCTTCCTTCTGTCCCTTATAACAATCCCATGAAGTGGGGCTACTTTGCTCATTTTATCAGTGGAGGGAAATGGAACTCATAGACTTTACAATGCACACCCAAGTTACACAACTAGTGTGTGACAGACTAGAATGAAACTCCAGATATGTGTGACCCCAAGCTTGGGCTCCTGCCCTACATTTGAAAAGACCCTTTTCCACGGTGTGCCTTGGTATGTGTGATCCTAAAATCACAAGGCAAATCCATTTCTTCACTTAGCTACAGTCTCTCCGATTTGTTAATATTCCTTTGGGTGTGAGTAGAACAAATCGTCAAGGTGGGGGGGGGGGCAGGATTTCCCCCTCTTGACCCTGGGAATCTAGGACCCAGCAGTTTTTGCATACTAAGACACATGCATATTTATAAACTTTAGTCAGTGCATTTAGGAAGGCATGGTCGAGGGAGAATAGTTTTTCCACATGTTAAAGCGAACTTTGTAGACAACTGTAAGAAATCTGAATAACAAGTAAATGTAACATGAATTGGCTATGCTTAGAAAAAATGAAAAACAAACTGTAAACAAGACATCTGAGATATGACAAGACCTCTCAGCAACTGACCTATAACAATTTTCATTTTTCAGACATGGAGAGAAAAATGTGTCCCACAATTTATTCAGCTGTGTTTGGCTATGAACTTAAAATACACACACTAGTGAAAATCACACAGCCCTGAGAGATTTTGCCATTTCAAAAACATGCATATTGAAGTAAAATGTGACCTGTAGTATGACAAATCTTAAATCCCTTGTCCAAGTGCAGAAATAGAAAAGCTGATTAAAATTTGAGCAGTTGCATGAAGAAAAAGTGTATCATTTTTAAATTTAACATATATAAAACATATGGTTATATTCAGAATATACATCTGAGATAAATAATCTAAAGAAGCAAATGAGAAACCTATGTGCAAACAATAATCATTTTATATTTCTTAATTGGAAATAAGCTTCAAGTAACACAAATAAAACAAAACTTTCATTATTCTAGGAGATGGACCCTAGGAGATACTGCTCTGATTTATGTCAAAGAGTGTTCTGACTATGTTTTCCAGAATTTTATAGCATTTGGTCATATAATTAGGTCTTTAATTCATTTTGAGTTTGGAGGTTCCTTAAAAAACTAAAGATAGAGCTACCATATGATCCAGAAATCCCATTCCTGGGCATATATATATATAAATCCATACTTCAAATATATATATATGCACCCCAGAGTTCATTGCAGCTCTATTTACAATAGCCAAGACATGGAAAAAAAAACCTAAATGTCCATCAACAGATGAAGGGATAAATAAGATGT